ACACACACACATACTAGCCAGCCCCAGGTCTGCAATAGACCAATCCTATGAGTCACCCGGATAAACTGAGGACTTAACAAATATTTATCAAAGGAATGAATAAATGAATGGGGGAATGGGTGAGTGAGTGGCTCCATGAATGGGCAGACACTCCCTTAGGGGGTGAGACTGCTTCCTCATCCAGGATGCTGCATGCTCCCAAAGAAAGTGATTTGGGACTTTCCTCATGGGTGTTCCATAAAGAAGCCACACTCTCTACTTTTCCTCAAGCCCCATGTGTCTTCTTTTTTCCTCAACTTTAATGTGGGGGACTGTGTCCTAGACTCCTCTGAGACCACATATGCTAGACTCTATACCTGGTATGTAGTAGATGTTCAATAAATGTGTGATAAACTGAAGGGGAAGATAGAAAGATAAATGAGACTTGAACCCTGCCTTCCAAATGTTTACAGTTTAGTGGGAGAGAAAAGATAGGTGCATAAGTACTAAATGATGGAACATTTAGTACTAAATGATGGCACAAAAAGGGCCAAGGAGTATATGCTATAGGAGGTCAGAGCTGAGAGAACTTCCTATAGACCAAGTCAGGGAATACTTCCTGAAGGAAGGGAATGGGACTTACGGCTGGACCTTGAAGGAAGAGAAAGATTGGGAGGAAAAGGAAAAAGGAGACGGACAGCTCCCAGGAAGAAGGCCAGTTGAAGTGATGTTCAGAAAGATTAGACTTGCAGGGATTATTTCTACAGTTTGTTACTAGAGAAGTTTCTCTGAACATGTAGAGCACCCGACACTTCAAGGAGGAGGTGCAACGTTCTCTTCTGAGCGTGAAGCCAGCTCTTGGTATTGTTTTTACAACTGCCATTTGCCATTGATGATTGCCTTCTCTTCCTTTGGGAGAATGAGAGGGGAGAACAGCATCTGAGTGGTTTCTGGGGAGAAAAATTATGTTCAGAAGCCTTGAATGAATTTAGTGCAGCTAGAAAACAGATATAAACAGAAGAGCCATGTATGTAAGTAGGTTCAAGCCAGACTGTAGGAAGTTAGGAGAAAGGATTTGGATAAGGCAGCCAGTGAGGGCTCTGAGCTGTAGCAGGAAGTGAAAGGAATTCTGGGAGGTGTGGGGTCTGCGGCGACATGGGTAAGGCACAAGGTGAGTGTGGCAAATCCTGCTGAGAGATAATGTGCCAGCACAGGGCTGACCAGAGCCAGGTGTTAGGCAGACCTACCACTTTTCATTTCATTCATTCATTCACTCATTCATTCAAATATTGATTGGCCCGTATGATGTGCCAGGACCTGCAGAAGTAAACACTGCGGACGCTTTCTCTCCTTTCCTGGGGCCCTGAGCTCCACTTATGGCCCCACCCAAGCACCCAGCCCAATACTTGAGCCACGCGGGCCTAGAACAAGAGCCTGGGGTTGAAGTCCACTCTGGCCTCTCACCAGCAGCTTCCTTCTACAAAACCGCTAATCCTCAGGGTCTGGGCTCCCAGGCCCACATCCACCCAACAGTGTCCCATCCTGATCACAGTCCTCCTCCACAGGATACACCTGGAAGGGAAGGGCTTAAGGGAGGAGAGGGTTGGCCTCTGGAGGGTATAGGACGTCTGAAGTAGCCTGGTGGCCGGGGACTAGGCCGACCAGAAGATGGGGTGAGGCCGAGGGAAAAAGAAGATGATGGCTGAGGCATGGCCTGGGAAGACGATTCCTGACGGCGCCCGCACACGCCCAAAGCCTGGGCAATGAAGCTACCCGACAGGAGGAGGATGCGCCGGGGGCCGGAGTGGGGGCTCCGGGCGAACACAGCGGGTCCTCTGCGCCCTCTGCCGAGCGCCGGCCTGCACTGCATGCGACGCAGCCGCCCACCCTGCTCTGCAGGGTCCGGGAGCTGGGCGGCGGGCACGCCCTGGGAACCCCGCCGCCAGCTCTGATCCCTCTTTACCCCTCCGTCGTCTGTGTGTTCTTCCCTGGGGGAAGGAAGACGGGAATAGGTTTTTTAAAATAATGAGAATAGAGGAGCTCCCGGGTGTCCCCTCCTCTAGAGCACGTTAGTAGCCGGCTGTCCCTGGTGCCTGAAATTCCACTATTAGAGATTCCATTCTTTGGAGTAATATCGTGGAGGGGTGAAGAGGTGACGTCTACACCATTTATTGACTACTTTAGCAGTGACAATGCGCCTCGGACAGGGCCTGGAAGGACCAGGTAGGCAGTCTTTTATTAATCACTGGATAATTGAGCCCTTTCCTCCAGGAAGTCTGCTTTGACTTTTTCCATGAACTTTACAGGCAAGGTCAGTATCTCTCAGGTTAGTAGACCAGGGTCTCTATTTATTTCCCAGTTTTGTCTAGTCTCTCCAGGCTCATTTAGTGCCCAGAGGCAGAAAATCCTCATCAGATGGGGCATTTCCCTCGGGGAGGAGGAGGAGAACATATATTAAAGGGAGCACACACTCTCCATTTCCTGTCCAATCAAGGACAAGCTCACATTGTCCTCCAAGGCCACTTGCATCAGGTTTCACATTACTGAGGTCCTCTGTGATCACTCACCACGGACAGTCTGCTCTACAAAGAGTAATCAGGAGGACATGCAAGACTGTGAATGCTCTGAAATTTAAGTTAGATGATCTCTCCTCTCCTCAAGTCCCTGCAATTGCTCCCCATCTCACTTGGAGTAAAAGCTGAAGTTTCTACCTTGGCCTAAAAGCTCTAAGTTCCTTAGCACCCTATTACTTAATTTTGGGAGCTCTTCTCCTACAGCTCCTCCCATCACTTGCTACTTTGGCTGTATCAGCCCTCTTGCTGCTGTCTCGAACATACCAGACACATTCCCACCTCAGGACTTTTGCACTTGCTGTTCCCTGTGCCTAGAGTACTGTTTGCCCAAGCACCCACATGACCCATCTCCTTCAGGTCTTTATTTAAATGCCACCTTATCAAGAGAGGTTTTCCTTGACCATCCTGTCTAAAATAACACCTTCATCATTCTCTGTGCCCTTAGCCCTATTGATTTTCTTCTAGCACTTATCACTACCGCCAATAATTACAAATCAGAGTGACAAGTGTTATGTCTAAGTACTGATGTATATAAAGTACACATAAAGGCTCAAGGGAGGAAATAATTCTGTCTACCTGGAAATAAGGGGGAAAGCATGAGTATGACATCACCAGGTAGAGGAAAAAGGGAAAAGGCATTCTGAGGAGAGAGAACAGCAAGAGCAAAGGCACAGAGGCATGGAAATATTTGATTTGTTCAGGGAGTGGCAAGGAGGCTGGCCAGGTGGGAGTGTAGATGTGTGGCAGGTGAGGCAGGAGATTAATTTGGAAAGATACATTGAGGACCAGTTATGAAGGGGCTTGTTAGAATCAAAATGATTGATTCTGAATTTCAGATCCGTTCCATGCTGATGGGGACAGTTCCTGACAAAGCGCCTGCCTCTATCCCCAGACTTGGTACCATGGGAGTAGCTATAGCCTGCTGCCTGGGGAAGGCTTCGGGAACATGGTGTGGTCTCTGCAAGGAGCCAGGCTAAGGTCTGAACACTCATAGGAACAGCCTGGCCACTCTGCTTGCCTTCCTATTGCTGATCTAAGCAGGACCCTCAATAAGGAGACTTTCCAGCTCCACAGAGCCTGATGTCCTGCACCACATCTCCACAGCCTGGCCACAGAGAGTCCAAGGTTCAAAATGTCCTTATTTTGCCGTCTGACTCAAAAGGGTGGGGAGTGGAAAAATTGAAGACAGCAGCCACCAAGGGACCTTGGCTGAATATAACTGGTGACCTGGGAAACGACAGAGGCAGAAAATAATTACTCTCTCAGACTGAGGGACTAAGAGAGCCTCTCACAGCTGACTCAAAGACTTTCCCTTCCAGCAGAGGGAGAGCATTTGTATGTTTTTGAGACAAGAAGATCCTTTTCTTTCCCTTCCACCTTGGCCATGTTCCTCCTCCTCCCTCCCCTGCTTTCTTCTGCCAGTCTTGGCCCTCAATCCTTCCCTCTTGGCTTTTTTTTTCTTTCTATTTTCTCTTTCCCCACTTCTCCTTCCACCTGCTCACTTCCCTGCTTTCCTCTCCTTCCCTCTCTTTGTTCCCTCAGTTTAAGCACAAGACAGATATCTAAAATTGTTAAAGGATAATTTTTTAAGAGGTAAAATTATGACCCATGCAAATATAATGCACATGTCTTCAACTTCATTTCACTCATGAATTAATGAGGGAACCAGTAAGATGTTATAGCCAGTTCACAGGGGAATCCAAAACAGACACATGCTAGGCAAACAGGGATCCGGGAATTTGCTAATGGATGCAGAACTGGCATCTTCATTTGCATTCCTATGAACAGGAATCTTGGGTCTCAGTGTCAGCCCTCTATAAGTTAACTTCTGTGTCTATGTAGATGAAACACTGTCAACAACAAGAGGCACAGATCCCTGCAGACTCGGACAATGCAGGAATGGCCCTCGAATATAGACAAACATCTAGACAATGCCTGACATTCTGTTGAAAGGACCCCCAAGGATTTTTGTCCATTTCAAAGTCTTTCACGGTTTTTCCTGACAAGACCTTAAAAGAGAACAGAGGTGAGAGCTAGTTAATTTTTGTAAGTCTTCCAACAGGTCTCTGTTTAAAGATGGAAATTGATTCTGGCCCAGAGGCTCAGCCCAGGGGTAGGAGCAGGGATGAGAAGAATGGTTGCCTGGCTCTGATCGAGCTGCAGGTGATGGGGCAGGTGGCCCTTGGCAAATGCTCCATAAGCCCTTGGTCTTCTCCTGCTGCATTGCCCTCAGGCCTTGGGGACAGCGGTAAGGTCAGGGCAATGTTGAGGGAAATCCACCACAGATTTCCCCAGAGGAGGGGGCATTTCCACCAGAGGAGGCAGCCCGTGGCAGGAAGATGGCCATGAGCCTCCTCAGAGTCAGTCCCAGTAACCCATCCCTGACATTGGGCTCTTTCCCTGGATGACAGCTTTCAGGACCACCTCACCAGGCTTTCAGGACCAAATCCCAGGGTCTGGCAGTCACTCATCATCTGCCGCTGGAACCCTGCACTGATGCCGTTGCCCACCCCAGGCCCCAGCCAAGCTCTGCACAACCATCTCTCTCCAGATTTGACCTTCCTGGACCTTTGCAGTTACCCAGAGAACAATCAGGCGCATTTCCAAGGTGTGCCTTCCGATGAGATAATGGGAGCTTGGGAACAGGAAGCAGCCAGCAAAAGCTCCCTGGAGACTCCTGAGGGCAGGCCCTGGGGGAGATGCCAGGCAGATGCTGGGGTGAGGGCTGGGAAGAGGGTGAGAGAGGGTAGCATTTGCAAAGCAGATGTGATCCCTGCTCTTAGAGAATTTCTAATCTAGCTTGGAAGGCCCAACACCCAAAAGGCACTAGCGGCTTGTGGCCAAGAGTATGTGTGAGGACAGGGAGGCAGGCTGGGGAAGCTCTGACCATAGAGCCGGCCCTAGGGTGAAGGCCTAGGTCAAGGAGACCATCCATCACCTGCAAAGGTCCTACAGAATTCTTCATCCCCTGGAAAGAAAAGGCAGCTACCTTCCTCATCTATACTAGGAGCAGGTGTCCTGAAATCACCTCCCCACAGAGAGGGCCTCAGACTGGCCCTCAGCCCCCACTCCCACCCCCACCTCTTCATTCCCATCATTGCAGAAGACAGAACTGCTCAGCCTCAAGGTAGATGCTCCAGGTGGGTAGTCAAAGGATTAAAAAGGTTTCTGGATGCAGAGGTAGGGCAGGTGATAGAAGCTGTTCTGCCAAACAAAGGCCCTCACAGCAAGGCTGAGCACCAGGTGGAGGACACCCAGGTTTGGTACTTTTGGCTACTCCACTGGCTGTGTGATTCAGAGCAAATTATTTCTTGACTTATTTATCAACAGAGATTGGACTCCTGGACTGATTGATTGATGGGTTGGTTGATTTAA